TGTGTCCTCCAATAAATAAATAAATAAATGATGCAGAGGGTGGGCGCAGCAGTGGGGGCGGGCTGGGCAGAATCGGCGCGCCACTGCAGCACGGCGAAATCTGTACGTAGGGAGCGCAGATTTAGATGTCTGGAAGGGCTCCGGCTGTCTGTGTGCGGCAAATCCTTATGGAAATGCAGGTTCCTCCCTATTGACTGGGATCCATAGCCAGGCAGGCAGCTTCCATGACACCTCTGCTCCGCGCCTATATCTGGGAACGCGTCGTTATTGTCCCCCCACTGTAGCGATATCGCCGCTGCACCCTGCGGCGTGATATTTCGTTACAGATTTCTCTACGATCTAAATGTAGAGAGTCGCCTTTCTTTAAAAAGTACCATTATTTCCGTTTGGCTCCCAAGTGCTTATACTTACGATTTAATATCAAAAACCCCTTAGGATTCGTCTTTATTTTAAACATTTCCGAGGTGAACATCCAACACGGCAAATAATGGCAACAAAAAAAAAATCCCTGTCCTATTCTGTGGCAAAGAAGCCACTTCCGAAGACAGTCACACAATTGCAAGGGAAGCGTTGTAATTTTAAAACGCTGTGTTTGAGAGCACATGCCCCCTTTGCTTTAGCCAAAATTCGTTTGAATGGTTCTGTTATTTAAAAAATAGGATGGTCTCTGAAAAGGGAAAAAAATCTATGTATCAATTGCTGCTTTTAGAAGGCAAAAGTGCACGTTTTTGTTTACTAAAGACGAGCGGAATCGCCAACATCAAACCCTTTTCTAATATCGTTATTGAAAGCCGGGGAGACGAGGACGAGCGCGACCAAGCCGTGGGCTGCAGGTGCGATGCGGCAGGAGAACGAATAGAGCTGAGGAAACCATCCTTCTCCCATTTTCCAGAAAAATACTTTTTTAAAAAATGTATCTGATGGACTCCGGAAGGAAACCGGTTGCAAAGTGGCTGAAATGCATCAAAAAGAAACATCGCTAATTCGGACCGCAACGAAGGGCCGGTCCGCGGCCG